GTGGCAATTCGTTTCTTAGCCTGGGAAAAGAGGGGCGGGGGGACGGGGAACGCCATATAATTTTACACACAATTTAGGTGAAAATAAATTTAAATCTGTATATTACATTTTTAATTTCAAGATAGTAATTAAAGCTGGTTCATTATATCTCCTCTGAAAGTCTCTGTGCTCATCTTAATTGCCTGTTTGTACAATCTGCTGTCTAAGACACCCAAGGTTACTGGGTTCCGAAAGACGCAAAATTGAATTATTTACTGACGTGATGCCTCTTCGTCACGTTTCTCTCGGAAGTTTGGGATCGCTGCTCCCCATCACAGCCCGACTGGGGCCCTGCTTCGCCACCGTGGAAATTTGTTGCTCTGTTTAAATACTTCGGAGCAGGCACGTTCCTCATGCAAATGTTCAGAGCTCTTTAATTTATGCGTTTGGGGAAAAAAAATCAATAGCTGAGGTGGCTTTTTTTGCGTTTGGGATCTTTATTTACCCCCCCCTCGCTCCCCAGTCCACCACTCCCCGGGGTGTTAATTCACGCACACCTAAACTTGCAGCCCTTTCCTCCCCATCCTCAGGCAGAACAGGAATAATCCCCGTCGTGTTTCCAAGAGCTGAACGGAGGGTTAGGGAGTGCCCATCTCCTCCCGGGCCCTTCCCGCAGCAGGATAAAATAAACTGATAAATGGCTTTTTTTTCCGAGGTGCTGTTTCTATCGGGTGCTGATGCTGGGGGCTAGGGCACCGCTCCTCCCGGCTCAGCTCCGCACGTACCTTGGGCCAGGACCATCCCCGGTTTGGGTCGCTCCGAGCACATTAAACTGGGAGTTTAAGAGACCTCCGTCAGACAAAAGGTGCCGTCCTCGGTTCCTTCCCTTCAGCCGGCAGCGCTGGTTTTCAGCTACCGGTGGGGTAAAAAACTACCTAAAAACGCCCATCCCTGAACTCCCCTGGTGTCTTTCGAGAGCCAAGAGAAGATCCCGTTGAGTCGTTTCCCCCCTCGTTGTTACGAATATAGAAGCATCTTTCCGAGGCGTCCTTTTGCCACTGAAAAAACTCCACGTAGAGATCTCTACCCTTTTGTTGTGTCTAGCTGGGTTATTCAAGAGCAGAGACAAAAGCCCGAAGTGATGCGATCTAAATGAGCTCCGGGGTTTTCCAGATGGGACCACCTCTCTTCCAAATGCCCTTTCTGCTTAATATAATAAAGTGCGATTTAAAAAAAAAAATGCTACTTAGAATACTTAGAAAAGGGCTTTGCTCTAGACCAAGAGATGCAAGCGAAACCTACACAAAAGTATTTTTAAAAAAGAAAAAATAACCAAAAACACACTTTGCTGTCTAAATTTTGTTAGGAGAAGATGTTTTATAACAATACCTCTGCTACTCACACGGCTGGAAGTTTCAATGGGATGTGGAGAGGTGGGAGGAGGGAATGGATTCGCGTTGGGGGGGTGGTTTTCTTTGTGGTTTTTTAAACGCACCAAGGTTATCTTGCTTCTCGTGGCCTCTCTGCTACAACATCTAAGCTCTCTGGAAGTAAATAAAGGCCGTGAGGGTGGGCTGGGGTTGTTTGAACTTGGCCGCTTGTCCCCGCTCTCGTTTCCACACGGAGCGATCCGCGGCGGGAGAAGGCGCTGCTGTCGCCTCCCGCTCCGAGGCAGAATCGCGACAGAGAAGGGAACGGGGAAAAGGAGCCAGGACTCCTGCTTAGCCCTTCCAGGCTTCCGTGAGAAGTTTCTCCACCTTTTCCACTCCTCTGTCGAGAGGTGACTCCAAGCCAAATGGCATCAGCAAGCAACGAAATGAACGGGAGAAATCGGAGTCGGCATCAGGACAGGAGCCCCCAGATGGGCACGGACATCCCAACTCCAGCGGGAATTCCCTTCCGCCCCTCGTCCTGGTCCGGGTGGGCTCCATCCGACCCGCGGAGACCCCGGTGGGGCTGGGGGCGGCCGAGCAGCCCCGCCGGGCCTCGCCCGCCTGGGGACACCTGCGGAGCCTCCGGGCCCCTGTGCGGGCCGGCCTTTCTGTGCCAAGCCACCCCCGCCATGCCCGCACTGGGGTCCTGCCACCCCATGAGGTTTCCCAGCAGGCTTAAGTAAGAAAAAGTAGGGAAGGGTGAATTCTCACCCCGCTTCTCCACGGTGCTGGTGTGGGTCAGTGCCTGCCCCAAATTCGGTGGCCCTTGCACGTCCTCCCTCCGGGAACTAAAACATCCCAACCCGCGGGTTTGAGTTTTCCCTTTAAAGGGAATGGAGGAAGCCACTCAGTTTTTAAAACGGAATAAAGGAGGGTCAACATCACCAAGCAGGTGACAAAAAGAAAAAAGAAATAGAAAAGGAAAAAAAAAGGCAGTTTAGTTTTACTCTTCGTTTAGTCACCACAAAATAGAACGTAGTCTCTGGCTAGCGACATCCCTGTCCCAAGCCTGAGTTTTCCACCTTTCCCTTCGCTGGAGGTGTTCTGCAAACCCCTCTCATCCCTTTCGCCTCCTGCGACCGCTTCCCGTCCTCTACCATCGCCGGGCTCAGAGCCTGGGGCGAAGCTGCGCATCCCGGGCTCTCCCGGGAGCGGCCGGGGAAAAGCCGCCGAGTGCCCGCGGCAGAGGGGAGCGGCTCCGAGCATCCGCAGCACCCAGCGGCTTCTCCCCAAAACCCCCCGTCCCTCCTGGAGCCGGCCCGGGAGCGGAGACAGGAGCGGAGATTTTCTCCGAGGCGTGGTAATAGATCATACAATGTGTGACACGGGTTTAACCAATAAAACAATTTGAATCAATTAGCTGGCGGAGGAGAGTTTTGAAGTGTAAAATTCATGTCAGTCTGGCTAGGAAGCATTGATTAAAATGTCACCAATGTGAGGCTTGTAGCCATTGCTCACACGAAAGCAGCAGGCTCCGTGCAGAAGGGGATCGGAAAAAAAGTAGGAGGGAGGGGAAAGAGGGAAGTCTTCTTGTGACAGTTGCGACACGGGGAAGAGCAAGGTTTAATAGGAACTGACAGAAGTAATAAGGAGAGATGTACTATTATTATTATTATTATTATTATTATTATTATTACTCTTATTACTATTACTATTACTACTACTATTAGTGTTACTATTATTAGTGAGAACCCGGATAAAGGAGAGAAGGTGTGAGCTTTAGTGTGCATGTCCTGGGAAAGGTCGCTGTAGAGATTTCCGTCTGGATCTGTGATGCCCGAGAAGAAAAAAACAGACAAACCAGAAAGAAATCACCAAATTTTCGTAGTTAAATGCTCAGAAATATTAAGTACTGGTCATGTGCATGCAGAGAAAAAGAGAGATACAGATATTTTTACAAAAGGAAAATAAATCAGAAGAGTATTAGGAAACACTTGACGGTCCAGTTGTCTCCCCATTTTGGCTAGGGATGAGTTTTTAATTTTCCCGGGGTTTAGCCTTTTTTCTGCAGTTTTCCTCCCTGGGAAGCAGCAGCGTTGAGCGGGATTGGCCTTCTCCTTGGGGTAGGGGGGTCGCGGCGGGGTCGCTCCGTCCTCTCCCAGCGCTGCGGAGAGTGGCAATTGGGACCCACAACATTTCGGAGGTGATTCGTGTAAAAAAATCTACATTTTCAGTTCACTGTATTCACTAGGAAAAAAAAAAGAAATTAAAAAAAAAAAAAAAAGAAAAAAAAAAGCAGAAACCGCCACCGTTCTGCAGCCTATTTGCTGGGAGGGTTTTTTTGTTGTTTTTTTATCCTTAGCTGGGGACATCAACCAACTGGGGGGAAGAGGAAAAAGTTAAACAAACCCAAGCAGAACATATTTGCGCCGTATGGGTCTTTGTGGGAGCGGGAATCTGGGCCCAGGTGCTTGTGAAAGTGGTTCTGGTGAATGACTCCGGTGTATTTGGGAATGGCAGTGAAGATACAGAAGCTGTTCGTGTTCGTGTGGACACGGTTGTGGCGAGAAATCAACTTTTCCTCTCTTTCTCCTCCCCTACCCCGTAATTTCTCCCGACCTCTTAAAAAACCCCGTTTCCGAAAAAGACGCGGGGTACATAAGGAGAATATTCCGTTTCTCGGAAGCGATTTGTCTCAGACCGTGAAGGGGCGGGGGGAAGAGAGGAAGGCGAAAAAAGGCTAAATAAAACAAACCCAAAGCTCATTCCACCTTCCACCGTTCCGGCCTCTCTCCGGGACACCGAGCGCGGGGCAGGGGCGGCGGGAGGGCCGGGCCCCGACGGGGCGGGAGGGAAGCAGGGAAGGAAGGAGGGAGGGATGGGGGAGGCGCCCCCAGCCCCGCTCGCCTCCCACCGGCCGGGGGGGCGTGCGGCGGCTCCGGGCCCGTCCGCCCCCCCGGGCCGCTGACGTCAGAGCGCCCGCGGGGCCGCACCGGGGGCGGGGGGCTCGGTCCGGGCGCGGGATGCGCTTCCCTCCCTGCCGGCGGCTGCGGGAGCACGAGGAGGAGGAGGAGGAGGAAGGTCCGGCGGCGGCACGGTGGGAGAGCGGCCGCGGAGGTAACGGGGAGGATGCCCGGGCAGCCGCGGGGAGCAGCGAAACTTTGGGGGGTTTTTGTTCTTCTTTCGAGCTTTCCCCGTGGCGGGGCCGCTCCTTGGTCGCCGTGTGCCCGCGGAGGCTCCGCGCGGAGCCCTCCCGGGTGGCGGCGGGTTTGCAGGGCGAGGAGACGGACACGGGGCTCTGCTGCGTGTTTGGGGTGGGTTCGGGGATTCTTCCAGACGGGGACGGCTGGCTCGTGTGCCGCCATCTCCACACCTGCGGTGGGATGCGCACGCCGGAGAGCCGCGATGCGCGGGGGCCGACAGCTCCGGGGAGCTGGAGGACACGGGAGGTTCGGGGGACTCGGCGTCGCTGAGCAAAGCTCCTGACGGGCAGCGCCTCCGCATGCCGGCAGACAGAGGAGCGGGGGGAGGACGGGGTGCGTGCGGCGGGGACCCCCCATCGCTGAGAGCGCTCGGCTGACGGCGCTGTGTCTCTGTACCCTTCCCCTCCCGCAGCTAGAGCAGAGCAGCCCCCCCGGCGCTGAGACCATGGCGACCAGCCCGCTGCCCGGCCCCACCGATATCCTGCTGCCGTCGCCGTCCAGCGCGTACCCGCCGGACCCCATGAACCAGCCGAGGGCCGGCCACGCCGCCATGAAGCCCAACCAGGTGGGGCAGGTGATCCTCTACGGCATCCCCATCGTCTCGCTGGTCATCGACGGGCAGGAGCGGCTGTGCCTGGCGCAGATCTCCAACACCCTCCTCAAAAACTTCAGCTACAACGAGATCCACAACCGGCGGGTGGCCCTGGGCATCACCTGCGTGCAGTGCACGCCGGTGCAGCTGGAGATCCTGCGGCGGGCCGGGGCCATGCCCATCTCCTCCCGCCGCTGCGGCATGATCACCAAGAGGGAGGCCGAGCGGCTCTGCAAGTCCTTCCTGGGGGAGAACCGGCCCCCCAAACTGCCGGATAACTTCGCCTTCGACGTGTCCCACGAATGCGCCTGGGGATGCCGCGGGAGCTTCATCCCGGCCCGCTACAACAGCTCCCGGGCCAAGTGCATCAAGTGCAGCTACTGCAGCATGTACTTCTCGCCCAACAAGTTCATCTTCCACTCCCATCGCACCCCCGACGCCAAGTACACCCAGCCCGACGCCGCCAACTTCAACTCCTGGCGCCGCCACCTGAAGCTGACCGACAAGAGCCCCCAGGATGAGCTGGTCTTCGCCTGGGAGGATGTCAAGGCCATGTTCAACGGCGGCAGCCGCAAGCGCGCCCTGCCGCCCGCCCCGCCGGCCCCCGCCGCCGCCGCGCCCGCTGCCTGCCACCCGCTGGGCTCGGTGAAGGCGGCGGCGGTGGTGGGCGGCGGGCTGCTGAGCCCGCACCTCCTGGCCGCGCCGCCCGACCTGCACCAGAAGCGCCCGCGCTTCGAGGAGGACGAGGAGCTGCAGGAGGCGGTGGCGGCGGCGCACGGCGGCAAGAGCCCGCGGAGCTACCCCGTCATCCCGGTGCCCAGCAAGGGCTCCTTCGGC